ATTGAAACGAATCGCGGTCGTACGCGTATACACGGCACCGCACTCTGCGGAATTGGCATGAATTCCACGCCGTTAAGCTCACCCGTTTCATTTGCCGGCTTGCCCCAACAGAAGACAAATGGTTTCCTCGGGGATGCCCGCGGGGAAAAATGATAAGAGAAAAGGTGCGAGAGCGCGCGCGAGGGCGGCCGGACGGGACGCTGCGTGACGGAATGCTTATTTGATCTGTACATAGATTAGCGGTGATACCACCCTCCAACTTTCCGAGGACTTAACTCGCTCGATTATCATTAGACTGACGGAATCGTTTGTCTTAATGGCACGTCAATTAGTATTCAGTTAGTTAATTTTTCGTAGCGACTATCCGCGGCGCTAATCGAGCGTGATAAACGTTTTCGCGTTATATTTGGATATCACGGAGACTTAATAGAGTGGTGGGCGCGTGATTAATTATGTTGCCTCCATTTAAGTACTGATACCGGGAGCCAAAAGTGATTGATAAATGGTTGCTTGGTTAGGTTAAAGGATTTATTATATAAGTACTCGTATATGCCAGTATTACGTTTTAGATACTAGGTACTCTCTTCCATGACAAAATATCTTAAATATGCCGTATAACAGTTTACTAATGCTGTACTTTATTATTATCTGAAAATGTTCCGGCTTTACTTTACTCCTTATCGATCTTATTTGCATGCCGCTGTTTGGTCGATAAACTCTCAACCTGCCCGACGAAAATTAATTATTGGCGTAAGTGATCGACAAAGGCAACTCCGAAATAGAAATATTCAATGGTCTCGGAGTCAAAATCGTAGTGACAGCAATTCGCTACTTTCACGGAGGAAACGACACTAGTGATACACGTAACGATAGTAATATCGTAATTTCAACTCTCGGCTCTTAACATTTCGCTCCTAATAATGTGGCTCGTCAGACTTTCTGTGTAATACAACGAGCTTTTCTATATGCATCGAATGCATTTCACCTTGGAGTCTAATTGTCGTACGACATTATGCATTCAGCAGCTTAAGAACTCTCGCACCGCGCGGAAGTTCAGTGTCGCAAGAGAAATACGAAGAGAGATCGGGGAACATTCGCTATTACAAACTCGCGTTGCGTTCCATCTTCGTTAACGCCGTTTCTTGTCCATCCAATAATTCATACGTCTTTTCAGACACGACGCGACGGTGCGACGTGATAATTACGTTCTGAGAGATTAGGCCTTAATGGACGCGCGCGTATAGCATCTAAGTAGATCGTCTCGTGGCGGCTCGCCGTGCTGGATGCGCAAAATTAATCTCCACCGCGTAATTCAGACGGCGAGCATAGTAGACATAGGTCGTTTACAACTATACGAAAGTTCGTGCTGGGTGGCCGTAAACGACTTGTCAGTCGAATGATATACTGTACGGCCTACGGCGCAGAGTCGATCCGTCCAAGTATCGCAACGAGTAATTGACTGCGCTCTGCTTGCTCCGATTAATTAACTTTCAGTACCTTGTCGTTCTCGCGATTCCGATACAGCGGACATTTAATGAATATCCTCTGGACGCCCAACCCCCGCAATATTGCTCGATATTCTAATTTCTGAGCTTCTCTTTTTGCTCCCTTTTCTTATTTTTAATCAGTGCGCGTCACACACAAAATGGAAAATTTTTTTCTCAACGACGTTATTTAAGCTTCGATGTATGTATGGATGACGTACATTGAGATTTAAAAATAATCTCAGTTTATTCAATTACCTTTTTTTTCATATTTATTTACTTTTCTCTATTTCTTGAAAAAACTTGAAAGGGTGTAATACAGCTACTGGCGTCCCACGCGTATCTCTCATCTCCTACTACATGTAAAGCTAGTAATTTTTAGATGTAGCACACGCGCGTTGCATTTCCCGTTACAATTCGGTTAATTGACTGTAATTTCCAGTAAATAGGAATATTTATTTATGCTCGTTTTGTTAGTTTATTTTGTAGCCCATTAACGCATTACTGTACTTAAATAGTTAATTATTCCGAACATTATTAGGTATAATCACAAAATTACCGTGCCATTGTGATGTTGTTGTATCGCGGTTGTTACGTTAAATTTAATGAGCAGTCATTTTTCAGAGATATTTGTTTAATATTAAATATATGTCGCACAAAAAGCCTCGTGTATTATTGAACTTGTAAAACAGAAACAATTAAGCTTCTAATTCCTAATTATTTCTGGTTATTGGCCTTAGTTAGTCCGTTCATTTCGTAGCCCATTAAAGCAATGCCGTATTTAATCTGGTAATTAATTTAGGTGTGACACGTATAATCGCAAAATGTCGCCGCACTTGCAGCGGCATATTGCGCCCTATCGAATGTTATTAATTGCGACTCGCGTTACACAATCAACATCAATAGCACGCTAATTAGTTTATTACATTTGAAACTTGCGCGTGGCTCCATCGTAATCGCAGTCTGCTCGAAAGAAAATGCCGACGCTGATAACACGGATAATCTCGCGACAATATGCAAGTTGCGAAGTTGACTTAACGTAGAAAGACTTTCGCGTGGGCGATAAAATAACGAGCGCACGTCATAACTGTTAAATGTCAGCGAAATATTTTCAACGCGTCTCATCGAGCGGCGCCATAAGTTGAGTAAACGTGTTGAGCTTGTACAAGATCGTAGTGGTGGCAGTCTGAGGCTACTGAATTATGAAAGTCTAGCATTGAAATTCTATTGTGTGTCGCGTGTATGCCTCATGATTACATTCACGATGGATTTTCGTTGTTACTCGATACTAAAGATGTCTTTTGTACAAATTTCGAGCGTGATAGATTTGTAGATAGAGGTGAACCTTTGTTTGAGAAAAGTGACCCCCACAAATGCACATGGAAGTTTCGTATGTTAAAATGTGTGTGTGTGTGTGTGTGCACAGTCTAAGTTGCTTACTCAGTGAACGAGGAAAACGTGTTGGCAGATGTAATGTCGTAACACCGTACGTGCAATCCCTAAGTTTTCGCGGCAGAGAGATTTCATTGCGAAGTTTCCGTGGAAACTTTCTTCGAGAAGTCGCGCTTCTGTTTGGAATAATGGTGAGAAATAAGAAGAAGTGCCAACGAAATTAATGCTGCCTTGAGCCTACGTCGGAAAGTTTTTCATAATGACTACCTTTCACGCCACTCGTTGCTTTAATTAACGAGCCACAGATTTACAGATTCCCGCTTGGAACTTGTCGTAAAATTTCGCGCTCATTTTACTAAACGGGGTTAAACATTTACATGTACCAAATATTAGTATTTTTGAATTATTTTTCTTTTATCGCAATAACAATAAATCTACAGTTACAGCAATAATACCCGATGATTTAAATATCACGAATTCATTTAAAAAGTACGTTTAACAAATTGCATTGACGTGAAAATTTCCGCGAGGATTTATTTGCAAGTGAAGACAATTCATGAGAATTGGTTAAAAACAATTGAAATGGTAACAAGGAAAAAACTGTTCGCACATTTTTTCGGTAAATTTTCGTGAGAAATACACAGGTGATATTTGTGTTTGATCAATTATTTGAAATTATATCTTTTCAGTTTGTAACTTCGAAAAGCGCATCATTTACTGTCTATTGTATCCTGGTAAAAAATGATTCTCTGTCAATAAAAGTTGCCCAATAAAGCCTTTATCGACTCCGCCAAACCGAATATCCACCAAGCATCGTATAAAATACGAACGAGTTTTATTCACCACGTCGATCGCGCCCAACAAAACAATTAACGATATCACGATAATTCATCCACGTTGCCGATGGTCATATTTTCTGAGCGCACTGTATCCTGTTCATGCCCGTGCCTTCATATTTCGTGTTTAATCACGTAACATGAGATATAAACAGATGTTCAATTTCCTAGTTATATTATTCAGTTTTACGTAGTTTTCCAATAAATAATCATATAAACCGGTATCACGTATTTCAATTGCATTATATGATTTCAATTTTTGTTACGGATCTTCCCTCATTTGAAATAGATTGCCAAGTATTTTTCCACGTGTTGCCGAGTTCGCGCGAGAGGCTTTCTGCATAGCTTACTTTCGCGACATACAATACCCGGCCGTAAATTAATCCGCTCCGGAACCGTTTTAGACCTACGCGAATCGATAATATATGCACGGCCTATATGGAAGAGGTGTTACGCGCGATGAGAGACATGCTCCCATCGGCGCATCAAAATGCACGTCGCAGTTACGGGTCGGGGAATTAGGCAGGCCAATATAATGCACCCAACTCCGAGTTGTGCACTTATCTGGGTCATCTTCCGGGTAGAAACTGTTCATGTGGCGTAGATATATAATGAATGTTCTTGGAAACCCGTTGGGCATTTAATTGTCTATCCGGGAATATATGTGTGCATCCAACAGTGCGTTTCTAATTATAATAGTAGCCTAAGCTACATATCTCTTTCGTCTAAGATTAGAGCTCAATATTTTTATGTATTAATTGTTTAATATAATGTAACTATATATATTATATATATGTATATATTAAGCATGTACACATATATAAATTGTATAGATTCAGTATAATAATATATTCTCCCCCATATGAGAAAATCATGCCACTTCTTTAACATGTCACGTGAGAAATTCGGAAAAAACTTGAAGAGTTTGGTTGCTTCCTCGGACTTTTAATAGACACAATGTTAGCCTCTTACGATGGAGGTAACATTGTGTCTATTAGACACGCTGTAGGATACGCTGTTAAATCTTATAATAGCGAAATTTTCCCGAGACACAGTTTAGAAATTTACGAGTTACTTAAATATACTCTTGAATGATTATAGCATAGTTAGTCAATTTTATAATTACTGGAATGTTTTCCACCTCTCACGTCACACATTTGCTATAGAACGCGCGTTACTTGACGTTAATACTGATGAAAAATTAATATTGACGCCAATAAGCTTTCGCGCATAATTTCTGGCGAGATATTGGGTGAATGATAAGATGGGGAAATGCATTGTGTCGCAGGGATAAAAGGATGTCGCCGTGATGTTACATCGAAGCGCTTCGTCGCGGCGCCGGCGAGCGTCGCCAAACGTGGCAAACTCGAGCCAGCCGGCATCTTCGACGATGCGAGGTCGACGAGCGAGTGTAGCCACTGAAAAACCCCTCATCTTGCCACCAAGTAGCCCCGGCGGAACGATGGAGAGGCAGCGGTCGCCGAGGGGTAGCGTGGTGCCGAATATCGCTCTGGATACCGAGAGCGACTCCCCCGACGAGGTTTAGTATTCACCCTCTTACGTTTCTAGAATTCTAGAGTATATATATATATAAAGGAATTAAACTCTATATATATATATATATATATATATATTCGAATCGCTACTACTTTTAGCGTACAGTGACATGAAATATAAACCATTTGCCCGTACCAATTATTTCGTTTTGGTACATGCGAGGCCGAACGAATATGTCAAAAATACACTCTTTCCGAGAAGAAGAGGCTTGGTTTACTATTTTTAAAACTGCCACGAATAACGATTTAAACAATTTGATTTGACGAGCAATTTTACGATACTGGCGATCGTGTAGAGCGCAGAAAATGATTCCAATTAATTGAAATTCTCAGTCAACCGAGCGTCGAGCCTGAAATATGTAGCAGATTTCGTTCTTTTTTTCTGTTTTTTTCCATTCCCTTCAGGCTACGCAATTTTACGCGGAATATTCAATTACTCAAGGGATATTCGACTGTACAGGTGTTTGACATTGTATTCGATCGATATGAACACCGCATATACTGTCCGTCGACGAAACTAAATATGAAACTTTTGTCACCCTCGCATTTTGCACATCGGTTTATCCACAAAATGTTGAGGTCATGAAGTTTTCACGGCAGATGGATTGCTATCACATGTTATTCATTAGGAGATGATTGGTGCGACGTAGGCACGCGTATCGAAAGTTATCGATTGGCTTTGAACAGCGATCTAAAATGAATTAAAATGCGTTCACTTCAATCGAGGGCTTCGATATGTTTCGCGAGTATGCAGCTTTCATGCGCGAGTGTAAATTTATTCCTATGTTAATTCCCATGTTAATTAAACTAGATACATTGCAGAGATACGCGAATGCGTGCAATATTAACGCACATACAATATATATTTCCGTCATTCCATTTCCAAGTAAAACGAGAAAAATCAATTAACTTGGAATGAAACAATTTCGAGAGAGAAAAGTAATGCGCTAATTCACTGAAGTGACAAGCTAATTACTACTCCCGATAGATACTTACGCGAGAGGGAAAGGAGAGCGCGCGATCCCTTTTGCAAAAACTTTATATACGTTTGAAAACTAATTCTCGCTCTAGCAGTTTCCTAACTCTTCCGCTAACAATTAAGTAGATCTGTGGTAACGCTCTAAAATCTATGGTGCTCTATTTCAGGGAGTCTGTCGCAGGATCTTGCCGGATCCAGAACAGTATGGCACCGGTCGCAACTCCCTGGCGCCCGAGGTGAGCCGCAGCCCGCGAAACTCTCTGATACCGGACGATTACTGCAGAAGCCCGCGGGGCTCCCTAATACCGGACCCGAGCAGGAGCCCACGCAATAGTCTAGTACCGGAAATGGTGCGGTCACCGCGAAACAGCCTGACGCCGGAAGTCTCTCTCAGCCCGCGTCACTCTCTGGTGCCGGACTTGGCACTCAGCCCGAGGAATTCTCTGGTGCCGGACGTGGCCTATAATCGCAGTCCACGAAACAGTATGGTGACGGTCGGCGGCTCTAGAATATCCCTCTTACCGGAGAACGGTACCGCGATCGCGGCCGCCACTCGTAGTCCTAGACATTCGTTGGTGCCGGACTCTACGAGAAGTCCGCGAGGCAGCATGGCGAACCTGGACTTCGACCGTAGTCCGCGTGGCTCGATCTGCCCGGACTTGCATAGGACACCCAGGAGCAGTATCACGCCTATGGAGGTCGCGGATAGGAGTCCACGCGGTTCGATAGTCTCGGAGTGTCTGAACCAGAGCCCCCGCGGCTCTATCGCGCCCGATCCTAACAGATCGCCCAGAGGCTCGATAGTGCCGGACTCGAATCGGTCCCCGCGCGGCTCGATATGCCCGGAGAGCAGCAACAGAAGTCCGAGAGGATCGATCGCACCGCACGATCAAACGAACCGATCGCCGCGCGGAAGTATAGGCATCAACGACGTCGACAGACACTCGAGAGGCTCTCTCGGAGCCATCGACGACGAAAACAGAAGTCCCAGGGGAAGCATCGGGCCTGATGGGATCAATAGAAGTCCTCGGGGTAGTCTCGGAGGGCATCAAGACAGAAGGGCGCCGAGGGGCAATCTGGGCTTGCAAGATCCTAGAAGAGCTTCCGCGGATCAGGGTGAGCATTTTTCAATATTCTTCATCGTTTCACATCAATTCAATTTCTTCTCCTCCTAGATAATCTTTTGTCCCATCATGTTATTATATATTATTTGTTTTATTTAACAAATAATAATTGTTGCCAAGATTGCTATTATGAAGAAAAAAAAACAATTTTCGAATTATGCTACTGTGAGAAGTTGGCACCTTATTTCAAAAATCCCAAGTTTTATTAACTCGTAATAGTTCTTCGGTTCCTAATATAAGTTTTACAAGTAGTTTATTTCGTTAATTTCGATAGAACAAACAACTTGTTTGGCAACTTGAGGTGTTGCAGCAAGTTAGTCGCGCTTATATATTTTCAAGTGTCACTTTTTCTATCCCGATCAACGGAACTGTTTCTAAAACCTATCGGGTGCCAACTTCACAGCGCTCGAGAATTACTTTTTCCACTGAAGTCCAAATAATCGAGAGTTATGATATTGAAATCATCGGAGACTCGTCTCAGCGCGTTGCGACCGGCGTTGCGTAATTTTGCTACAGAAACTACCGCGAAAATGTGGTACCTTGAACGTATTCAAACCGCAATGCTCTGCGTCCGAATACCGAAATACAGATATAATTCGATCGCGAAATTATAGCGTCGCGGTGAAACACAACGCGATGTGCAAAGGAAATGTTTGCGCTTGCCGCAAATGCGGTTAGATTGTGCCAATAATATGCCTACGTGCGCGACGTATCAATCATACATGACAGAATTAAATAATTATTCGATCGAGTTATTGACTCGAGATAATCACGCGATTAACAAGAAGCCGCCGGAAGCGGGTGCGCTAGATAAAAATAATAATGGGCTTATTCGGGGATCGATTTTATCATGTGCTGTGCATTAAAATAAATATTAAAAATATCGATGCCTCCATCTATTTTCTGCCTGTCGAGCAATTATAAGCGACGCTGTTTTATATACGGTGTAAGGGCGTGCAATAAAATATTCAGCAACAAGATTCCACGCGAGCGTTTCCTTACGTCCCCGCATTTGCAGGCTGAGAATCTACCTCGAGGCAGCAAGTATCTCCTCTCCTTAGGGAATGTAATGGCAATTTGACGCTCATTACCGTACAACTCGACGTCAGGTCTCCGGAGAAGCCGATTAGTTTTCGTTCGTTTCTCCCGTGTTCGGGACATCAAGCGCGATAGACGCGCATAATATATCTCGAACGACAGAAATTGGTCGCCAGGCGATTGCGCACGATATCGCACACACCCGATATTTCTCACTGAAACCCTGCGGCGGATGCGATAGACACTCGCGCCTCGGAGTAACGTAAGCTTGACGCACGAACGGAAGGAACGGATCTGCCAGGAGATGTAAAATAATATCGACAAGCCGACAATCGATCCGACGTCGATTCCGGTACGAGGCTCTCATTAAGAAGCGACGTCGATATCCTCTGTTCCCTCTTAATTTTCCGTACTCTCGCACGATTAAATTTATTGCGATTTAATCAGGTCAGACGAGCGCAAAGTACCTTCGAATTTCCCATCGATCTTCCGATAGTATCTTTGCGTCATGCGTATAGCACGGTATCTCGAAACTAACGCGCGAGATACTAAATAATGTAAAAATAATCTTCTATCAGTTTTTTTTTGCATTAACAATTAGACTTGACTCGACACGCAAATCGACAATTCCTCGTCGCAGAAATTCGGCTCTCGATCATAACGATTATGCCAAGTGCCGTGAATCACGAATCATATTTTTGGCAAGTTTATGCGGATTATTAGACTCGAAGGTATCGTGTGCCAAATTGCTATTGGCGGTTGGAAAACCCACACGCAGTGTTGTGTAGTAGCATTAAACCCCTTAAGTCGACCTATGCAAATTGGCTTACCACAATCTTAGATGTATGCGCATGCGGGATACGTATGTATCTTGCGGTGAGATAATTCGCCGCTAATATTCCCGAATGAGATAAAACTCACGAGAAACAGAAACTTAATAATTCCGCACGCTAAGGTCTCCCTTTTTTTTATTGGGGCGCGATTCTTGGGGCCGCCAACGCTGGCGCAAGAAAATCAAATCGCGAGGCAAATAAGAGGCGTTCGCCCTAGCGATAATTAACGTCACGCGGGAAAGGTTACGTTTCGGTCGCGCAAATTGGCCTGATTTTGTCGCGCGTGCACACGATGCTTGTTAATGTTAGCAGCTACACCGAACCACCGCCAGTCACGAGATTGAAATATGCGTCTGATACATATTCCCACTTACCCACTTCGCGCGACTGCGATGCGAGAGGGATTGCGTGCGTGTTAGGCGGCCAGATCAGCTGGTCGAAGCGTAAGTTTCTCCTTGAATATTTCGAAACAGTAAAAATGCAAATACGCAAATGGTTCATTACAATTTTAAATTCATTATAATTTTGCAATTGTTCTGATTGCCTAAGCGTTATAACAATGTATCGCATTAAGACGCATTAAACCCCATTCTTAGCGGCTTTATCGCTCGAATTCGCACGCCCTCCGTATGATTATCGCCGGGGGATCGATACGACAGGATTGACCTGTTTACCGAGCTACCGGCGTGCGAGCGAAGTCGATAAATTTTCGCGGCGAGGAACGTCGTAATAATCAAAATCTCTCCAGCAGACGGGATTCGTATTCTGTAAATTGAAAGCGCGGATTTATCGCGCGAAGCAGCGCGCATTACGCGGAAGCTTGTTGACAAAGATATCTCATCGCCCGAGTTTGCAGTGCATGATGTCTCTTTACAACGAGCGAAATTCGTGCAAATGGAGAATACAAATTAAATTGCGCACTAACACTGTTAATTGGCGCGCCGTTTGCCATTGTTCGTAACTGCATAGTTGCCTAGTGTTCATTAATTGCAAACGCGTTGAAACAAAGAGAGCCGAAAACTATCGGTCGGAATAATGTAATAGAAAAAAATTCAAACGCGGAAATAAACTGGATATTATAATCTTATATGGTCTGTTTAGAAAATATATCAGGTTAAATTTGCAAATCGATGGAATAGAAGCGCCTTTTATCAAATATAATGTCAGTTCAAGTTCGAAGAGTACGAGACCCTATTTTGCGACTCTTTCGCCCGCGCGCGAACTGTTTCGTTTCGTGTCCTCATAAATATTCGCGGGATATCGCGCAGAAATTTTGCGAGATATTTCTTTCCCGAGCAACAATTTCGAAAGGCAGTCGAATAAATTCAAATGTTTGTGTTTGTGTGTCCAGGGAGTACGAGAAACCGAAGTTCCTCGCCTTATCGTCAAAGAGAAGTGAGCTCGGGAAGCGTCAGATCGGGCGGAAGCGGTGGCGCACAGGTCAATCTGGGATATGGAACGAACGCCTGGGCCGATTCCAGACGAGCCAGCAGCTCTGTTTCGCAGGTAACTGGCTCTCTCGCTTTCTCTCTCTCTTTTTCTCATCGTTGCAATCCCGGCCTGCAACGTTCAAGGAATTTCTTTCTCGGCCACGCCGTTACGGTGCACGCCCCAGTTGTGTTACGAGTATTCCGGAATTTCTCGCCCGAGCGACGGAAATGGGCGACTGGGACACTCTCCATCTTTATGACTCGACTGTATATACGCGGGCAACTCGAGGTCGCAATTTGTCATTTATCATCCGTTGCGGTAATTACGATGAAGTGAAGCAGTTGCAGGCAGAAAGCATAACGACATTCTTTTTACTCGTCAGAAGTACGCTAACAAGGCAACTTCCGTAAACCACGAGTTGTGCCAAGAGGAAAAAAAAGAGCACAACTTTTTCCGAACACGAGAATTGGTTTGATACAGGCGCATAATACTTTCCTACACAATTATTTTCATCGCGCTGCAACCAAAATATTGCTTTAGATGTCAAGAATGACGATTTAACAGCGCGAGTGTGATCTAACTGATTTTCATCAAGCTTTCAGCCCGAGCGAGAGCAATTAACAGCAATTAGTAAATAATATCTGTTATTATAAAACTGTGCAATGTGTATAATGAAATCAAATTTCAAAATTTTATATCTTTTTGTAAAATATAAATAGGCATGTTAAGATTTTACTTTATGATATTAAAAAATAGCTGACAGGTCAAATATGCATCAAATTGTGCATCCACGCAAACATATATTTTTATTATATCTTCTCGCAATAAAGTTTTAATAAATTTAACTTTGTTCACGTTTCGTGAGTACAACGCGGAACTTATTTAGTAGACTTTATTTAAGTTATGACACAAATTGCAAATTCGCATGACTATCCAAGTTTAAAACAGAAGGTGAATTCAAACGTACTGGATTCACGCCAGATTTTTATTCTAAAAGTGTCGCTCTTCACCAGAAGCATTTTTATCAAGACAAAAATCAATGGAGTACAGTCTTGCAGAAGCGTTATTTCCCGGTTTTTTTTTCGTCGTCGTTTATCTTTGTAGAATCTTCAAAGTAATTTTCCTCGTTATTACTCCAGGGACATCACGTCGGGCTTCGCAAGACTTTTTACACAATTTTAATTTTTAATGGAAAAATTTACTTAAGTTCGGTTATAAAAGCGGGAAATGAGCCGGGAATCTGTTCGTAGAGTGAGCATGATAAAAAAACAGGGCGACCAGCCGCCCTGAAAATAATACGTCTTGCTTAACCGGAAAGAATGCTATATTAATCATACGTATAACGAAGTTGCGATGATAATGCCTCTAAGATTGGTCATTTATCTTTTTGTTAAATTACACGAGAGCAAGTATTTCCTCCGTATATTGCACCTATCAACGGAAAAGTTTCCCCCCTAAAAAAGAAGCTTAAACGATCTGAAATTGCACTCCGGACTGGTTTTCTGCTGCAGACGCAGCATGGTACGATATGTGGCTGCAACGCACGCGAGGCGAGGTCGAGTGAATGACGATACAAGCGATAGCTTCTGCGAGATCCTCCACGCCCGTATCCCTAGTGGCATACCCATTGCCTTTTGATGGAAAACTCTAATGAGTACAAAAGAACTTTCTACGAAGATAAATATGTTTAATCACGCTTAACAAACAAAGCAGAAAAGTTCTCGATACAAAAAAAAAGATACATAGCATACGTGTTTGCAAACTTTGATCAATATTTCAAATTCTCCTCCCTACTTTTCTTATTAGGTAAAATTCGACGAAGAAAAAGTTCGTTTCAAGACTTCTTTTGAGAAATAAAAAACGACCGACGCATCTTGACTTTACAACTTAATGATGGATGACGAAATCCGTACGATGAAACTGAAGCATTTTGCAAACTGTTAAAGCAATTATTGTAAGTGCATGCTATTACTTTCCGTTAAAATTATAGTGTGAAGCTGCACGGATCAGAAGAATGCCGGCGCACTTTGCTCGTGACAGCTTGAATTTTTCTCGCACAGATCACATCCGCAGCTTATTTCCGCGCTTATATCCGCGCGAAAAACGTACCTGAGACGTGTACGCGCTACCCGAAGATCTCTCGAAGGATCTTATTCCGTAGAACGTGGAACGAGAATCGACGAAAGTCGATGAGAAAGAAGAGTCGTATGTGCAAAGCTGTGCTCGTGCTTTTCAGGATCGTTTATTGGATCTACGTTGTGTGGAAAGCGAACGGAATATAAATTGATCTCTGACGCCAAATCTGCCTGGCATTTCGAAGAGGCACAGCTGGATAAAAAGTGGTGAAACCAATAATTAAAACGTACTGTAAAGTCCGGCTTCTCGTAAAATATAAAACGTATTGACTTTCATTTGGTGATTACATCGCTGCGTAAAAACACTTTCGTGCCACTATTGAATTTTTATTCATTAAGAAACTAGTCTGAATTCTCTCAAACGATTTTTTTAAATCTTTGAATACATTTTCTTAAATTCACTGTTCATTTTTATTTCTAAATTACGAACGTGCTGGTTAATACGATTTCTACTAAAAAGATGGAAAAACATGTGTAATGTACTTGTTCCATCACTAATTGGATTATTTTGTAATCAGCGAAATACAGACGAAGTGGTAGACAACAACGTACACTGACATAAGGTAATGAAGATAAAATAAAACAAAATGAAGTTAATGTTACTAAAATTACAATAAGTCAAAAATGCAGAGAGAGAGCGAGAGAGAGTGGGAGAAGTTAAGATAAATTAAAAGTTGGAGTGTGTCCTTTATAGCTTTGTGAAATCTTTTCCACGATAAAGTCTGATGTCACGTGTATGCTATTAATCAGAATGAATGAACTTGCCGGCACAAAATTATATTACATTACGGGAGAAAATCTGATTTGAGCTGTCGCGTGTGCTTTCAGCTTTCAGGCGACGAATCGCGCCGGCTTTGCTCCAGCGGCGCGAAAGCACCTGAAAAGGGCGACGCGGAGACTGCGAATCTCGGCGTGGCAACCTACGGCTCGGTCGTGTTTCAACTGAAAGACGCCCACCTCGAGGCGAACGGCATCTGTGACTTCGTCTTTCGCGCTTTGAGAGTCATCAGCAAGACGATGACGTTCACCATATGTCTGACCTGTTTGTCCACTGTGCCTATTTTGATGTTCATCTTCGGTGAGTGAAGAGACACGAGGATGCGGTTAGAAGGGTAGACGGACGGTTTTGATTAATCTCGGTTGCGCGAATCGAGAAAGGTCTTTGACCGGTAATCGGCCACGTATAGATAATTTAATCACGAGAAAGTATGTTCGGATAGCATAATGAATATTATATAATGACTATCAGCTGGATAAGTGGGTCGAAAACGACTTCACCGAAGTTAGTTCGATCCGTTTTACACTTCGACACGAAAAGGCGATCGATACCTCTGGCGGTATATCTATACTCAAGAACTATAACGATAGACTCTTGTGAGACTTGGAGGAAAACTATATAGCCTGTTCTTGTTCTTCGGTCTATGGCGCTTTTTAAAATCCAAGATTTACGAGCGTCATTTCTTTTACTACTTTTTATCACTTAATATCGTTTCTATCTTGTTTATTCAATACGTTATACTTTCTTGATGTCCTTTTAATGATTATTATACGAATATTTTATGTGCCAGTAAAAAGATTCGGTTGATACTTAAAAGAATGATGTAGAGCGGGTGATTAAACAAGATGTTCTCTTTAACGTTCTTTGTGTTTCAATAAACTTCGTAAAACCTTGTAGCTTTTTCTGATGTAAATTTTTCTCCATTACTTACATATTTCTCGGGAGAGTTGGAGCTCTTTTATTGCCGCTTTAACCTCTCTTAAGGGAATAGCTTTACGCATAGCCCGACGGGGATAATTTTGCAGATATCAAAGAAAATTTTTAAGTACCCATCAGTATCGCGTTGTGTTTGGTCATTTTTCGCTCTTCAGCTAATCTCCAAGTTCAACTTGAGTTAAAATATGGAGCCTGATAATACAAGGTGATTCTCTAACATATTTCACGTGTCAATCAGTACAGGTAAGGTTTTTTTATCGGTGTCCTGTCAGAAGTACCTGTATGTTCCGCGCTATCGTTAATAATGTAAATCTGCACTTTAATTTTTTGTGATAAACTGTCCAAATTTCTCTCCAGTGAAAAGCAAGCTATAAAAGGTATTACACTTATATGCAATTTTTTTTTATGTATAATGACACTGATATATCATTAGATATGCCAATATTCAATATTAGAATCTATATATAATTATATTTTTAAATTATATTTTTAGAAAATAAATGTGTGCAATTAAATTTAGTGTAATTAAATCTTGAGATAAATCTATAAATAATTTATAGTTCAGATAAATTTATAGAATTCAGGTAAAAAAAGAAATCCTTTTTCTACAATTCGATCGTTGCGTAAAATTCATATATAAAGTCTATTTTAGACGATCTATAATTCAGCATATAATTCAGAATTTATAGGATAGAATTTTATGTATAATGTTACGTGTCATTTAATACAAAGAAATTAAATAGTAAAATTCTTTAATGAATTTAAATCAATTACGGAAATTAGATGTACAGTACACACAAAATATAAAAAAATATGCGATAAAATTATATATAAAATTGTATTCTGAAATCTGATGCAAATTACAAATCACCTAAATGGATTCAAGATGCAAATGGTGCATTGTTTCCTCTTCTCTCAATCATGACGTAAAGTTTCAACCAGCAAAATGCAAATATTTGATAAATCTTCACAGCGGTACGTGGCGAGATATTTGCGGCAATGCAAAGTAAATAAAATCTTACTTCTCCCAACAAATTTTCCAACATTTTACAAAATCAGATTTCCCAATGGCGTTTTATTCCCGTCTAATTTTGCAACATTTACATATAGTTGCAATGTAACCAAATTTCAACGCGATAAATCTCTTAAGTTTCTATCAGGCGAATTATATGCGCTGTACGCATTTCACCTTCCGGCCAATTCAGTTGAAATTCCACGAAATATACGACATCATTTTCGTGCTAATTAATGCTACCAGGATTACGACACGCGAATTGCTAGCGTGTTGAGCTTGCAGCATGCAAGCATACTTAATTTCTCGGGCATAGCCGGTTACTTGCGCAGTAGGGAGCATGGGCGCTCAACCTGATTTATTGTAAACCTGGTGCATTCACCTTCCGGCAAAGTCCACCTAGTAAGAACATGCAATCGATAGTAATGGCGTAGGTAAACCGCGAAAGTGGCTGCGGATCGCCGATCCCGAATACGACTTAAATCTTTCGTAAATTACGATACGTGGAATAAATAGTTTGCGGCCTGCGCCGTGCAAATTTAATGAGGCACTTGAAGCTAATTTGAGAAATGCGAAGCATATTGAGTTCTCGATTAGAATTAGAACGCCATTAAGAGGATTTCTTCATCGTGCATTTCGCAAAGAAAAAAGGAGGCGATCGACAAATCGGTTTTCGGTTGGTTGCTTCACGGGAAAGTTTATTCCAATTAGTTTGAACTTATGAGATTCGTACATTACAGTTCCGCAAAGCAAAGATAATAAAGTTAAAAAATTCGAAACAATATAAGATATTTCCTTGTACCTTGTAACTTTTTACAAATGCCTCTACAACTATCGAAATATTTAGGGCGACGGTATTGATTTCTCATCGCAGCGAATGTCACGAAATAAATTCTTCAAAAAACCGTCGGGGATTATGCTGTAGTAGAAAATTAATAGTTTATACATATAGAAAAAATGCGCATAATAACGAGGTACACATTACTCAAGTCAAGCAGCAGAGAACCTCTTGAGGTATGCACGTTATGTTATCCTAAGTCGCGAACGTCGAACCAGGACGTGATACACAGAATAAACGTCAGGCAACAGGCAATTAATGCTAAATTATTCCTCATTGGTGTTGCAAAAAGATGCACGTCAGATATACGTTAGGTCTTAATTGATGGACAAGAATATCGGTTAAGAGGCGTCTCTCTTTCTCTCTCTTTTTTCAATAAAAAAAGGACGATGAGCTTTAAGTGAATTACTATACCGCGTATTAGTTCCGTTTATTACTCAAATTATAAAGCATTTAGGTCACGGATATGAAAAGAACGAGTATAAAAGGAAGACGTCGTCATAAAACGTCTACTAATGAAGCAAGTTCCGGCGAGAAAACGACGGAGGCAAAAGTCATATAATCAATTATCGAGTTTACTGCCATTTATCGCGCTTATTATGTCGCACGATGCAACGTAACATTGAAATTATTCCGTATATGTCTTGTATGTATGTTTAACTAAAGAGGCAACTTCACATTTTATACTCATTACATTTTACATTATATATTTTTTATAAAAGAAATATAAAAAATATATCGCGTATATTACATTTCGACGTGCACAATAGACTTTTCTGGTAAATCCAAACCGAACACGAATGTGTAGAATAACACAGTTGTCGCAGTTATCTCTTTGGACGTACACCCAGAAAAATATTTATTTAGGTTAAACAAATGAAATACGTTGAAATCACGTTTCTTTGAATCTACTAAATTTTTATTTACTTCCATTAAAACATTTGCTAGATTTGAAGAAATAGACATGAATTCTCTTAGAGATTCCAGTCTTTATCAAATGAAATTTTGATTAAGGCAAAGAAATCATTTCTTTCAAACCAAATAAAAGTCTAACAAGGTCCATATTCAAAGAAAATTTGTTTAATTTGAAAGAAACTTTGTCCGAGTGTAAATTCGGTTTTATATTGAACGTGTAAGAAAATCAATGCCATTGATCTTTGCAGGTGTGCAGTTCATTAAGGATTGCCCTAAAGAACCGTACCTCCCCGTGTACATGCTGATCGGGGGAGTTTTGGGTGCCGTGCGTATGTTCTGGGCGTTGTACTCGCAGATACGCTCTCGGCGGCCGGAAGTCTTGTCCGTTCCCAACACCAGACCACACGTCTCGCCTATGAAATTACTCTCCATAGCTTTATCGTGCTTCCTGGTCGTGTGGTTCGTGTTAGGTAAGCAAGAAATTTCGTTTGAAATTGTATGCGACGTGTGTTATACTCCCCGCAAACTTTCGGAGCGTTAAAGCCACAGAGGATTTACTCAACGAGTGCAAAGCGTGAGTCAGATTAGGAAAACACGTGTTTCGTAATATTCGGCTTTATGATTCTATAATAACTTTATGCAAACGTAATTAAATATTAGAAGATAAACGCTAATAGAAGGTAGGGGCCAATTGTATAAATAATAAAACTAGTAATTTCTTATGTCTTTAACTCTTTTTCGTAACTAAGTAAATGGTTTTATCTTCTTATCTCTTTCATTTTCACCGTTTTCTTGTCTTTATTTCATTATAAGTTGTACTATTCCGTTATGATTTATAATTTAATTTTACACTATGTTCTATATTTTTTTAGCTAGAATGTTCTGAGATAAAACTTACGGACTTAATAGAAATCTCTTGTATCGCAGACACGGGCATAAAGATTTTCAAGAAATTTCTCTTTAAATAGATGTAGCTGTATACAAAGCCCGAGAAACAATTCTGTCGCGATATTATTACGTTGTTCCATAAATTGCAGCGTGTATTATTTAACTTTCTTGCACATTGGTCTTAATTGCGCAGCGCTTTCCGTTCCACGTTATTCTTATGAGTGAATTTTTATGTTGACGAAAATATCGGTCAAGTGGCTGGACTCTGCTTATATTTGCACGTTGCAGTGGACGGTTTTAACGGCGTGTCCTATCTTTAGCGATAAATGGATCAATATTAAGGTGTCGCAAAAGTGCGCTTCAGCAGCGTCGTTATTAATCAACATCGATATATATTTTAAAATATTATGCTACGTGTGCAGTATCGGATTTCTCGATTAATCATATTTTTCCATTTTTCTCTTATACTTGAGTTTCTTTTCTTTTTACAAATAATGCCTAATACAGATTCACGTGAAATGGCAAAGAGCGCGAGGCGCTGGAAGCATGCGCATGTAAATCCGTGTGCGAGAGAAAATTTTGCGATTGCAAAAAAAATTCACGGTTTATGACGATTTAACTGTTCGTGACTAAGCGCAGTCGTGCAATATTTATATTTCGTGTAGCGCGCCAATTCGCATGGCAAAACGCGACAGTTCGTTAGTCAGAATGCAGGACGAGATTGTAGGCTGCTTAAT